AAATCCCTTCCTCTGTTTAACAGCGTTTGGGAAAGCGCTGAATTCGAGCACTTTATTGCGCCAGCACAGTTGACGTCACTGTGGCTGCGTCTGTGGTTTCAACGTTTAACGACTCACCTCCTCATCTCGTCGTGGTAGAACTCAGACTTGCAGGTCGTCATTTGTCTTTGCTCGGGGTTGTCGTTCTCTTGGCTTCTGACTCCACCGAACACGTAAAGCTCCTGACCGACGCCGCACGCCACCGAGCCGAACCTGAGCAGCACAGACATTTTGAGGGTTGACGGTAAAGCGGGCTCCTCGCTATGCAATGATTAAGAGTTTAACAATTCCTTTAAAGATAATAAGTAAATTCGGGTCATACGGGAGAGATCTCTTCCCTTAAATGGGAGTTTTTCCTCCCCACTCTCGCCAAGTGCCGGCTCAGAGCGTCATCTTATTGCTGGTTATTGATATTTCACTACATAAATAAAACTGAATTGATCTGAATTGACGCCATAAAAAGGATGCATGTGACCACGTACACCCTGTGAAGCCTCGAGGACTTCGAGGAAACACTGCTTCTCTCCACAACTCGAGGATTTACGGTCGTCTGTTTTTAACTACAGAACTTATTCAGTGGTTAAGTTTACTGACGTTCTGAGGAAGGTGGGAGACCGATGTGGTTTCAGCGCAGTGACACTGCCATTGGTGCCTTTTGGAGCATTTTTAATGAGACAAATAACCTGGCTCGCCTCGAGCAGCTTGCTATCATTAAGTGACAGCTTATTACTCGACCCTCACTCAACTGATGATGAATGAATAAATATTTATGTCATTTTGTCTTATATAGAATCATTTCTGGAACCAAACGGTGGCAGGTAAAAGTTTGAGGATCCAAAATCCCTAAACTCATGGGTCATGTTGCAGAGGCCCGGTCCAGCTCTTGAAATACATTAATTTAATTTAATCTTTTGCCTTTTAGCATTTTTAGTTGTATTTCAGTACAACGCCACGGCTGTGAGAGGGTTGGATCCTCAGCTGATTCTGAACATACTGTGGTTAAAGCGCAGTTGCAGCAGCTGTGCTTAAAAAGTACAGAAAAACCATTAAGGAAATTCTGCAGACGCCCACAGAGAAGAAAAAAACCCTCATAACAGCGCATAATGAAACCAAAAGCTGTGGATGTGAAATCCACATGAGTAGCACAGACGGGTCTAGCATGCTGGGTGTGGATTCAGCGATACGAAAGAGAAGGTGTGACACAACTAATGCACAATAAAAACCACAATGTTGCGCCGTATGACTCGACGGCTACACTTGCTGAGCAAGTCAGTGAAGCTGTGATGTTGGATAAAGTTTGTCAAACTGAAAATAAAACTTTCAGATTGGGGAGAATGACGGTGACTGTAGAGCTATGTTTCATTTCCTGTTGTGCAACATAAACGAGTTCAAATTAAAGCAACAACACTGAAGTTAAATGTTAAGTGTTGCACAGCAAGTGTGCAGTGAGAGAACCCCCCCCCAAAACAAGCTGACTGCAAAGAAACAAAAACGTCAGGACTGTGAGGAAACACCGACTTTAACATTTTAAGATCACGGACAGCAGAGGCTGTGCTTACCTTCTCTCTTTCAGAGGACACAGCCCCGTCCACTGCTGGGTTTTGGGGTCAAAGCATTCGACAGAGTCAAACAGCTTCCCGTAGGAGCCCCCACCAATGGCGTAGAGCTTCTTATTCATGGAGGCGTAGCAGCCGACCTGAAGGAGAAGACGGAGACGAGGTCAAAGCGTCGTCCAGCCGTCGAGCTAACCAAATATTTCTGTCACTGATTTTATGTTGTTGTTGTTTTTAACATTTCAGAACAACGAGAGCTGAAGACGGGGTCATAACAGACCACCAACATCCAGTCATTAACCCTTTAAGACCTACCATAGAACCAAGTCCGCCAGAGCTTATATTATATTTTTACATGCTGTGGAGCCATTTTTGGGAG